TCACTGGCTCCTCTGCAGGAAACTGTATGCCCCCCCCCCCCCCTACTTGAACCTTTAATTTTACTCCTTATAGATTCTGTGACTTGACCCTCTTTCCTCCATCAGATCTTCATCCACTGTAGTACTGCGGTGTGCCATCCATCTTCTGGCTCCTGTGAGCAAAGCTGCGGCAGGAAGAGTGAGTTCTTGGCTTAATGTGACAAGAGGAACTGAGATTTTTATAGTTGGCCTTCACGCTTCTAATTTTTCTTTCAGGAAGGGACACTAATGTCAAGACCATCTCTAGTGAGCAGACTGTGGTTTCTAGTGGAGGAGTTACTCTGATCATGTAAATCTAGTGGTTTTAATAAGCTTTTTTACTTGGCAAGGTCTGTTATTGTATTGACCTTGCAGAGTCTCATGTTACATTATGTACGCAGTTTGTTTCTTGGTGTACACTATTAAACTAACTTTCCAGTACCTTTTGTAAGGTCATTGTTTTCATGTGTGTGTGTATATATATTTAAATGTTTTTCACTCTGAGTCAGAACAGCCGGCTTTGTAGTTTCCTCTACCAGGCTCAGGAAACAGTCCTAACAAAAATGCACTGTTACTTTACATGGTTAAAATTAAGAACAGATACTGCCAAATACTTCATATAACGTAGACTGACCATCTTCCGTACATTTTTCGCTATTCGCCGCACGTCAGCGACCGCTCCTCCGTTATTGAAAGACAGGCAAGCATGTTTGTGATCATTCTCTGGGGGAATACCCATTATACAGTCCACACTTTGATGTCTTTAGGACCAATAGTTTGAGGAAAGTGGGGAAAAAGTACCGCCTCCTCCAGTGTACGGACGATGATAAGGGTTAACTGTTCCGTACTGCGCATAACTTGATTTTATCGGCGAAAATGTACATTTAACTGATCAGCTGGGAGTTGTTTATTTATTTTAACTGAAGAAACCATTATTTAAATAAAGATGAGTACCTCCTTATTTGATTAAAATTGTTTGTTAATTGCTGCTTTAATAAAGGACCTTGCGAGTTAGTCATGATTGTGTCATGATAATTATGGCATGTGAGTTAAGCATGAACCATGTAAAACGTTAGAGAATAACATTTCCATATCTTTCTGAAGACAATAGGAATATAAACATCACTGCATGCAGGATGATGGGCAAACTGCGTCTGTGCTGACCGATGTGCTGCCTGTCTCAGGCGAGAGTGGCGCTAATGTAACCCTTGTTTTTGTTTAATGTGTTGTTTTATGGATGTTTTGACGTTTTAAATATAATCTGGCGGTTTTTTGATGATCCCGGATGATCACTAACGCTCACTCAGTCAGTCAGCGCCGAGTCTTCTGAGGGACACACTTATTCTAATCTCACACACTATTTAGGATGGATAGTATGAACATTGAGACGCAGGGTTTGTTTCTGAATGAATCAGTCGTCTGAATGAATCATTCGAATCTCAATTACTCTAACATCACCTTTAGCTACTGGCGGTTTCATTTTTACATTTCGACTTTTTGTTCATGTTTTTGATTGTTTCAAATATCAGTATTCAACGTTTTTGTTAAAAAGGCTTATTTTATGCTATTGCAAGCTCATTTTGTAAATCTAAAGCTATTCATTTTAGTTATAGACAAGTGCAAACTGGGTGCTTAATGCAAATGTAATTGGCCACATTTACAAAATCAGGTGATTATGTTTCGCCCATCTATGCAAATGTCTCTATTAGAAAATCAAACTATTTAGATTATTCATGCATATTATGGTGCTTTACGGCAGTTATTTACTTTAGCGTTAGTTTTTTGTATTTATGTTTTATAGATATTGTGAGAACTCGGCTTTTATCATATATCCTGACTCAAATAATGTGTTTCTATCAGCAAACACTGAGAATAAAGAGAGATGATCTGCTGATGATCTGAATGTCTTGTTGAATGAGTGTTGATCGTCTGAGGCTCATCAATATTAACAGAGCTGCTGAAAACACTCTTTATTTCATCTCAATAGCTCCTGTTTTCTCCTCATTTATTATGCTGATGTCTTCAGATCTCCTGTGAATGGACACTTAAAGCTAAAAAAGTATCAAAGGCTTGGAACTGATAATTTTAACAGAACAATTCAACAGCTCAACAATAAACCATGAGAAAACATGAGATCAAGTATGAGAACTTGCAGCAGAACACATTATTATTATTTTACATTTGATTATTTTATTTACTTCTAAACAACTCTTCAGTTGCGCCTAAATCAGTCATTCTGACAGTTATCACGTTTCTGACAATTCTGCAGGATGGGACACATTTCTAGCTTATTTACTGCTTAAATTATGATTCAAATAATTGTGTGATTATTTGTTCCATTTTTATTTAAATAATTTCACACTTTTAAAACTTTTTAATGCCGTACATTATGTATGACAGATAGGATATTCTCATATTTACACAACTATCAAACACACTTTATACAGTCTGTTTAAGCCACATCTTACAGACTCATGTCTGTGCTGTTTTCATCCGCTTCAGCGCTACTTGTGCGTCTTTCTTGTTTTTGAGAAAACATTTATGCGTTGTTAGTAAAAAATTTAAATTAAGTCTAATTCTAATTAAATTAAAATAAGGCCATAAAACACAAACATAACATTTGTTCACAAGACTTTTGAGAACTGGATGTGGTAGACTAGAGTTTTAAAACCCATTAGCATCAAGTCTTGTCTGGTACCAAAACTGTATTAATAGTCTTCTATGAGCCTAGAAGATGACTGAGCAAAGCCAGAGAAGAGCAGAAGCAGGAGA